CGGCGGGGCAGCCCTCTGCCCCGGGAGGGGGACGTCCCTCTTGAGGGAGAGGGACGCCGCAGCAGCTCCCGCGCCAGGATCGGCCTGCCCGGCAGGAGGAGAGCGAAAAGAAATCCAGAAATCGGCCCTCCCGACCTGTGTTCTTGCGTGTGTCGTGTCGGTATATAGGGCGAGCGCTGGTTTCCTTCGGGAAGGGATCGGGGTTTGTTCCTCTGCTGATGAGCCTTTTCTTATTTCCAACGTAAATCAAAGACGCGACAGCTGCGTGTTTTTATTCATTGCCCCCTTAGAACTTAACCTGGTTAGAAGGGTTTGAAGCTGCATCGTTAGATGATGATAATATGTGCCAATGCGGTAGTCGTTTGCCCTGATGTTTAAGAAAAGCACAAGCGTTATCACTGTACGTTTTTCGGCTGAGATGTGTTCCCAGTTCAGGATTTTTAAGAGCTGTTTTATGATAAAATAGCTGCATTTTCCTGTCTTGAAAACGTACGTGACTGTTGAGCAGTCTCTCATACATATTTAAACAGATTCGGAACAGCGGTTGTCTGGAGATGGCGAATGAACACGTTAGAAAATAACAGCCTGCAATGGTTCTGTATCTTTCTGGGGAAATTTTTGTTAAGCTTTGTGTTTTCAGCTAAGTGCCAGAAGATTCTGGTGACAGCGCTCTCTGAAAAGCCTCGGTCAGGGTTTCAGATTTGTTCAAAACAAATATTAAAACGCTTTGTGTGCCTCCGTGCATTTAAATGCAACTAGCATATTAGTTCTTCCATGAAATCTTCATTTGTCATTATTTATAAATTGTGCACAGAAAACAATGAACAAAGAGGTTGAAAATAGGAAGCTTTCTGCTGCATTGCGTGCGGGATCCGTAACTGTAGTAATGGAATCATTAAGCTGTATAAAATAACCTGAAACAGGGTAGCAGGTTACATTGTTCACGTGAAGTAATTTAGTTCTGTCCCTTTTGGAAAAGAAACCGTACACCTGGATAGATCGCACTGAAATTCAGTGGGCTGCCTCTTTTTTTTAATCAAATCTGGATGTTACACTTCCGTGAGCTCCATGATTGGTAAATTTAAGCAAGCATATTTGTGTTTACTTAAAAAAAAATGGGTAGCAACAATAACAAAAATCTGGAACGTCAAAGAGTGTCCTTAAAGCCTTATTTACGATTTTCACCTGGATGCAAGAAAGGTAGGAGAAGCCTTAAACCCCGTGACGCCTTTTGGTGTAAAATTCCAAATTCTCCAGTATTACGTTTATAACTGACCTCAGTAATTTAAGGCAAATAACTTGCTATCTTTGTTGCCTTAATTTTACCTTTTTAATATATTTATGTGTTTGTAATTGTTTTATTCATAAATACATTGCATTTTAAGGGAAGTCATTGCTTCCCCTATATTGGGGGAAATAACGTAGATTTCTCCCTCTTCTCTGCACGGTAGTATAGCGTAGGAGTTTGTTTTTGCCATTTGTCCCTGGAGTGTAGGCAGCAGAAAAATGGGGTGGAGCAGACTGCAGATGCTGTTGATGGTGATTGCCAAGTGTAGTCCAGCAATGTGCTCCTATTGCTGACCACGGATCAAATAAAGTGGCAAGCTGCCTTCTCGCTGCTGCAACCGATCCACATTAAGCTATGCAAATGCCACGATAGATACGCAGTAACTTCAGCAAGCACAAAGACACCTAACTGCA